AAAGATATAAGTCACAGAATGAATGTAACCTGTGTTTGAAATTCAGTTTGTCATAATACATATCCTGTGTTTCTTTTCTTCCAGTACTTTCATGGTCAGGGCAAATGCTAACTGTGATGATGCTTGGTAAGGACTATCAGAAGTAAAAAACCAGATGTCATACTTAAAACAGTAGAACGAAGGAAACTAGCATGCTTCCTTTTCATAGGACTGTCCAGATATGCATCCCCAAAGACTCAGATTTTATTAGAAACAAGATAACTGTATTTTAAAGTGGAGATCAGAACTTTCTCTAATTCTTTGTTAGCCTAATAGGTTGGGGAATGGGAAAATGGTGAATTTAACCTGACATGGCTTTTGAGTACCGAGTGACAGGAACACCAAAGTCCTACCAAAAGTCCCTACCATATATTAATTGTCAATTCTCCAGGCACTTGGGTAAGATCATGCCAAGGGTAAGACATTCTGAGGGGCAGACTTGGAAGCTACACCATCTTCTCATAAAAGCAAATGATTATTTCTTTGGAATTTAAATTTATGCTGAGAACTGTTGATAAAGAAGTGATTAGTTTTACATGTTCATTTACAAGTTGTCTGCAAAAGAACAAAGCAGGACCTCTAGGCTAGTGGCAGATAACTCTCTTCACAGACCCACATTCCACACTGAGTCAGAGTTTGTATCAGCACCCAGTCCCAGCATTTTCCCCTTAGGCCTGTAGAGAAGCATGCACATTTACACAGAGGCAGACTGAGAGCCCACATAAGTCTGAAGAATAAGATGTATTTTCCACTGTAACATCAGCAAATTACAATGGAACTACAATCTATCTCGTTATAACAGCACACTTTGGCTATTAGCCTGATTCCCAAGGTCCAAAACTCAACTGAATGAGGAGCCATCAGTAGAACTTAATAATGCAAATCCATAACCTGGACACTTAGTGGTGGGTATTGGCCACACAGTCTATGATAGATATTGATTTTGTTTGTTTTAGTCCATCATTATTTCCCCAGCAACAAGAATAGAGTTGCCATGTGATAAGTTCTCAGTTTTTGTCAAGTAAATGAATATACCTAGAGACATGTGTCACAGCATTCAGCAAGGATGACATGTAGCTTCCACAGACTGCTGTCCAATTCAGGAGCCACTAGCCACATGTGGTTGCTGATGTTTAAGCTAAATACATTTGAAAACAAATTAAAATTTTAATTTCTCAGTTGTACACATCATACTTCAAGTGCTCAATAGTCATGTGTAGGTAAGGGGTATTTTTTATATTTGGAAAGTGCAAATATGGAATGATCTCATCACTGTGGAAAGTTTTATGGGTCTTTAGTGCTTTGAAAATTTGCTGTTCAGGGCCAGAAGATGGTTTAACATATAAAGGTGCCTGCTGTGCAAGTCAGGGGATTTCAGTGTGACCCCCCAGAACTTATGCAAAAATGGAGAGAGAGAACATAGTACACAAAATTGATATCTAGTCTCCACACGCATGGCTTGGCATGTATGCCACATACACATATCATGCATACTCTCCTACAGTTAAAAATGAACTAACTACTTCCTTTAGTGTGTGACTGTCAAGTGAGTGAATGGATGAAAGCTGTTAAAGGGAGGCTAGTACACACTACGTAATTATTATTGAAAACGCTTTTGTAGAGGGTTGTTCTTGACGAAGGTGGTATGGTTTTTGAACCATGTACACTGTACTTGTAATTGTTTCTATGGATACAAAAGTTGCCATGAAGATAACAGTTTTGAGTATTCATGCCTATCACTGCCATCAAACTTAAGCCATGAACTGAGCTTTTTAAGTCCTTGATGCCTTGTAATCAGAATAGACCTCCAGGCAGACACACTGAGAGAAGAGATGTCCAGGACATCTTACTTTATGAAGCCCACGGTGCATGTCCTTCTTGTAACTGGACTCTTGTCTGTAACTGAGCAGCTTTTAGGAGGCTAAAGATTCCCATCTGCTTTCGTTAGCCTCTGCTCAGAGCAAAAGAGCTCCAAGACCTGCTGTCATGCCTTCTGATGGTGAGATCAGAAAGCCAGTCCGGTTATCCAAGTAACCACAAGCTTTCTTCCCATTGGAGAAGTCACATTGGACCTTCGGTGCTACTCTCTTAATAAGACAAAGTGGCTTAGGTTTTTCATGCTTCCTTTGAGGATAGAAGCTGCCAATGATCCTTCCATAAATCCGTGAGTATTTCTATAGAAAATGTATTTCAAAACACTTTATTCTTTAACATGACTTGTAATGAAATAATTTTCAAATGGTATCATCCAGGGATTGTGTTCTTGGGGCCAGAAAGATGGTTAAGCAGGCAAAGGTGCAAATTTATTAAATTTGTGTTTACACAAGACAGAAAAGGTTGAATTCTGGTTGAAGGGATAAAAACAGGCTAGGGTCTATTGCTGATTCTGTAAATAGAGGAAATCTGCTAGTTTGGTTGATTTTGTTAAGCAATGATTTTACCTTTGAAGGTGACCCTAGTTTTGGCTAAGCAACGGATATGAGTATGAAGAGGCAAGACGTCACAAAGAGAATTTTAGAAAACTGAAGATTAGCTTCTTCTGCTCGTCAATATTTAGCTATACCTTAATGGGAAACAAAAATCACTTCTATCATGATCTATCAGGTTCTTGAGGTACCACTTGACAAAGCCAAACCTGGTTTGTTATTGCATATCTAGCATGGAAAGCCTATGTTTTCCTACAGTCAGAAACTGGTGGGTACATTGGCCTGTATGATGAAAAACAGCCCTGGAGAAGCAAAGCAATCCTGAGGTAAAGATGACGCAGCGATAATTGGTAACATTTCTAAACTAATAACCTTGGTTACCCATCATGGAGATGGCCTTCATGTTTCTTGTACCCTTGTAAGCTTATTTGACCTTAGCAACTTCTACTGGAAATTAAGAGGCAACAATAACAAGCTGTCTGTCATTTAAGAGCAGAGATTGGAGGCTGCAATTTGAGCCTGGCTTCATCAATGAACCCTCTTTTTATCTTCACTGGTCTATAGGTTTTGAAAACCATGGTTAGTTTAATAATTTGTAGGATTTTTAGAACAAAGTTTCTATAACACTTCTAAGTAAGTGCTGTTATTAAATCATTATTGTGTTGCCTCTCTCCTTAAAATTATTCATATATATATGTATATGAAATATACATATATACATAATATATATGCATACATGTATATTTGTATGTACATGGGTGCAAATATTTGTGCACATACATGTGGAGACCAGAGAGGTAAACATTGGCTGTCATTCCTCAAGCGCTGACCATTTTGTTTTCGAAGAGTCCTTCATTTGGCTGATAGTTCATCAAGCAGGCTAGGCTGACTGGCTTCTGAATCCAAAAGTTCCTTCTTTATCCTGCTCCATGCCCCCCAATATGATTAGCATGTACTATCACACCCAGCTGGTTTTTCTTAATTGAAATTTAAAGTTTTTGATCGTTTCATACATGAGTACTGTATTTACATTTAGCATTATTTCCTTTCCCCTCTTGCTTCATGACCTCTTATATAACTTTACACATACATATGTAGTAGGTTAATATGCAACACACACACACACACACACACACACACAATCACAAAGGCTACTCTCTTGCCCCAGTCTTTCTTCCTTGGCTTTCCAGACCCAAACTGTGAACTAGAAAACAAGACTCTGTTGCATTTTCTGATCTAGCTGACACCACTCTGCCCAGACCCCATAGAACCAGCCTCACTTTCCTCGCCTTTTATACATGTATAGCGTCATATGTCCTGGATCACAACACCTGTGCTTTCCCATTACATTTTCCCCTTAATGTTCTCACTACTAGACTATAGACTACAGAAGTCAAGGAACTGTTTTGCTCTGTACTGTACACCCAGCAGACAGAATGGTGCTCCACTGCAAGTAATGAAAAAGTATGTTATTTCCAGACTGTTCCAAGGATGTGATGGTCTCTTTCTACCTACTTGCAAAACTATGGTCCTGATTACAAATCCTGGTTACTAACCCCCCCAAACCACACCCAGTGTAGTTTTCAATGCTATCTCTTGCTCACAAATAAATCTCTACTACTTACGCGAACTTCTGGAAAGGAGAAGAACTCATCCGTTCTAGATGCCCATCATCTTCTCAGCTCATAGATGGTACTCAAGCCATGTTGAGCAACGAACAATTGAACAAAGAAGTGATGGACTTGTAAAAGCAAAGGCTCAGAATCTCCCCACCCCTTGTCGCATTCTCTGTCTCTCTCTCTCTCATACACACACAGGATGTCAGAGGAGTAAGGCAAAGCTCTCCATACATAATCCAAATGTTTTGGGGAGTCTTAAACTGGTTGGTTGTTCTGACTTTCAATTCACCTGTGTAATACATAATTAGAAAAGATAGTTTGACTCATAATATGATATAGGTAAATTATAAAAACCCACCAACTTGATATTTTTTATCATAAAAACAGGGATTTTTGACATTTTATGGTCACTTTTATTGCTTTTATTACTAAAATATTCTGGTCTTTTAAATCTTCGTGATACATGGACATTTTATGGTATATTTCTGATGTTTTTTTTATTTCAGAAACACAGAAAAAGGAAATTTATCTAGAGGAACTTCATTTGCTTATGTATCTGTGCACTGAGGGAGATGAGGGGGACGATCTGAGACTCTACTCAGACACAGTGCATGCTCCCCAAACTCAAGCCTCTTTTTGGATGACACCATTTCTCAGCACCACACTCTAAAACCTGCCTGCCACCTATGCTAATCAAATGATCCATTGAAGTCAACAGCTGTCTTGTCACTTTTTAAAGACTATCTGCAGTCGGCATGCCTCAGGATGGAAAGAATTCAGCAATTACAGTCACCAAGTGTAGGTTAACAGCATCAAATTTCTCCAAGAAAAAAAATGATAAATGAACTGTAAAACACACACACACACACACACACACACACACACACACACACACAAGAACTAGACACTTCAAGCATGTAATTGTATATTTATTTCTCTTTTTAAAGAACACTCCTTAATGTAATTCAGTATACAAACTTGGTTTCACAGAATTATAATCCACTATATAGCACAAAGATAACCCAGATTGTGTGTGCGCATGCACATACATGTGCGTGCGTGTGCACATGTTGCTGTACCCCTTCCTCTGCTCTGCTCTTCTGGACCTGCAAAGACTCTTCCCACCTTCAACACTGATCAAAAGCTACTCTGAAGGTTATATACAAAAAACTTCCCCCTCCCAAGAGTTGCTTTTTCTTGAAGGCTTCTCTTCTTCATTCCCCCTGAGACAGCCAGGAATGACACTCTTTCCCTGTACATAGGGCAAGGCGGCATCCCCTAATGCTGATGTTAACCCTGTAACCATATGGACAGGCTGATGGGAAGAGCTGGGGAGCAGGTCTCCATCCCCCCTTCACCGCTTCCACACCCAACCCTCAAGTCCAAGTGCAATCCCTCCATGCAGCCTTAGTTTTAGTCACTCTCCTGTGCACCAAGAACCAAGATTTTTAAGCCCAGGTCTTTTCCATGGGCAGCGCACAGCACTGCCTACCAAGCCACCGGGCCGGCCGATAACCAAGCTCTACATAGTCCCATGTGCTTTGCCATTTTAATTTTTAAAGACACCCTAGCATAGGTCTATAGCAACCTAGTGTCCAACTGAGTTACACAAAACTGTACCAGTGATGCACTTGTACGTATTTACATGGGGCGGAATGTTTTTCCCATATTTTTAGATGAGTATATAGATCAACATGTTCACATAAGACCAAATACTTTTAATATTATTTATAACTGATTTATAAAGCTTTGAAAAAACTCACAATAGCACATTGTTTACTTTAATGCTTTACGGTACTATCCATTTAAAATCACAATCAGCACTTAAGTTATTGTCAATCCAGCAAACGAGACAAAAAGAATTTACAAGTTAAGAACCAACTGATACATCCTTTATCTTTTTTTGTAACTAATGCATAAGTGCAGAATAAGATATTCTAGCTTAAATATCTTGCTTACAATGGACATTTCTGTTCTAGTTACGCAACAGTAAATCCATGCTTCACATAGAAAAGCAATCCACAACATTAAGAAAAAATGTACAATTTATGAAACAAAATAAATATTAGTATTACAGAATCAGAGCTGTACATAAAAGCTGTTCAGTTTTTATCATATAAAAATATGTTTTAGTGCAGCCTCACATATATGTTGATGCTGTTTTGCTTTACACCATTTAGATCCAAGTGTCCAAAAGAGGAAAGAAATTACATTTATTACAAAGCAGATACACAAATTCTAAAATATGTACAAATTACTGCTAAAAAATGCTTATAAGAATATAAGCAAAGTAAAGAAAAGGCACAAACATCTGTACAATTTTAAAAGTACCAGACCCAATAGGTTAATTTCAAATTTTGTTTTGGTCAGGCTCCAGATGACTTGTTAATTTACCTAATTGTTTTCAAAATAACAAAAGTATTTATAATAGCCAACTACTGTAACTTAGGACAGGCATGCTATCAACTCTGTTACCTCTATTCCTAGAAAAACAAAAACAAAAAAAGGGGGGGAAATGTGGAAATGAATGTGTCCATGCATCTCAGATCAATGTAGTTGATTCTTTTCTGATGAAGGCTCACTGCCTTCCTCTGTGCTTAAAGATAATTCCTTGCTGCTATGAAAGTCTGCCTTCTTCTCATCCCCACTGCTCTTGCTGTAAAATGTGGAGTGAGCTATTGCAGTCTGTGATGTACCAAAACTGTCCTTTTCACCATGTAAGTCAGGGTGGGCGGCTGAGGTACAAGGCTGACCTGGCTCAGGCCCGCTAAAGTGTCTAATGCTGATGTGTGCACTTTCCAAGGGTTTCTGATGGGGCTCCTGCACCCATGTGGGCTGATCAGCCCCAAGCAGAGCTGCCTCCTCTGTGGCAATCCGGAGTGAGGCGATGGCTTTTGTGCAAGTCTGTATGTTTTCTTCCTGCTCCCTCTCTGTGGCATTTAGGCTGTCTTCTGAAGTGCTCTGTTTCATCAATAGCCGTGGGGAGGAGGGTGAACTAGGTAGACCAGATGACTGCAAAATGTGAGGGGCTTGTTTCTCATGCCGCCTGGGAGGGGTGTAGGGATCCTTAGTGAAGGCCTCCCCTGGTGCTCCTTTCTTCTCCTCAGAGCCCTCCATGGGCAGAGGCAATGTGGGTGGAGGATGTAAACCGGAAAGGGCCGGTGGCATGGAGTGAACCATCTGGATCCCACCAACTGGCACCATGGGGATAGGAGCTCGGACTTGCTGCTGAGAGTGGAGTGGAAGATGACTGAAGACATAGTCAGTAGGACCCTCAGGGAAAAGGCTGGAGCCGTGATGTTCATAAGCACCTTCTTGGTCTCCGTAGAGACTGAAGTAAGGAACCTGAGGTAATCCTCTTCTTAGATTCTACAGAGGAAAACAGAGCACAGAGTTCAGAAGTGACCACTTTCCATCCTTGTGCTAAACCTCCTCCCTCTTTCTCTATCTTTTCCCCTCCCTCCTTCTTCCAGGATGCCCAACACATAGGAAGAATTTCTGCAAACTGAACAGATTTCTCAGCCATCTTTTCCAGTTCTTCAATGAAGGTGTCAGCCTGTGGAGAATGGCTTTTGTTTTTAAACAGCAAAGTACTAGAGCATCCAGTGCATTTCCTAGTAGGCACAAAGTCACGTGCTGGCTGGCTATTTTTTTTTCATGAGAGCAAATGAAAAGAATGGATTCACCAGGAAAAAAATAAAGCAAAAAATCAAACCAACCAACCAACCAAACAACCAAACAAACAAAAAACAACTAGCCAATATTGGTGGGATTGAAACTCAAAGGAAATAGGATTACTATGTATGTATTAGGATGAGCAGAAAGATATTCCTGAGACTAGGTAGAAAAGACAAGTTGGTCACATGCTTTTAGGATACACTTTTCCACACAAAAGACAGTTGGGTGGTTATGAGAAACCACAAATCAGCTCCTTTACTATGCAATGCATTGGCCTAAAGGAATATACCTTTACTATGCAATACATTGGCCTAAAGGAATACATCTCTACTCAGGAGAGGTCCCTTTGTGCTGGTCCCTGATCTAGTAGAAGATATCCCTGGTGAGGAAAGGCTCTACCGTGCAAGGCACTGACCTACAAGAATGCTTACCTACTAAGACAAGACCCAGTAAAGAATGCAGGTTTCTTCAAGTTCTAGTTCAAGGCCAAATCTTACACAAATGGCAGTGTTTAAAAGGAAGCAAGTAGTTGTTAACAATTATGTGTGTTTAATAATCATTTATATCCAATTTATAGCTGTAAATAAAAGATGATTATGCCTCAATTCCTCTGTTGATATTTATAATATAAATGTCTTCATGACCAAATGATATGACAGACTTTGACAATCCCCCATGGAAGGTCTCACCCACCCTAGGGAATGGATGGTGGGTGGGATGAGTGTGTTTGTGGGGGGCATGGGAGGATGGGAGGGAGAGGGAAATGGTATTTATATGTAAAATAGGTTTGCTTCTAAATAAAAAAGAAAGAAAATTAATTAAGTAAAAGTGTTTAGAAATTGGACCCAGAGTTACAGATTTCATGGTTTAAATGAAGGCTTTATTTGTTATACTTGTTTTTGTAGCAGAACATAACTCAGATTGCCAGATTATAAGGCTCTGGAAAATCTATCATATTTTCAATTGCTATGATTCATCAATAATGGACTTCACTGTTTATGAGAACCCAAGGTAGATTAAAAATTTGTCAAGTATAGTGGTAACCTAGGAAAGCAAACTTTAAACCTGTTGTAAGTCATCTCAAGAATGCTTTGGCTCTCAGATTCAAGGACTGACTCCTACCACTAAGGATTCACCCAGTTCTATTTAGGTTTTAGTCTGGCTCAGGAACTATAAATTATGCATGCGCCTGCTACCGTGTGCCATGCCTGGAATTTGTTGTGCTCTGGGCTACATCTTATCCAAGCGACAGACAAATGGTTTATTCTGTAACACGGATGAAATGGTTCAGTCACCAGCCCTGGGATCACTAGGAACTCACAAGCTAGGATGGGCAAACATTTCAGAACTCAAGAAGAATCCCTTAAATGCTGTGTACACATACATTCTGTCCCTACCCTCTGCTTTAAAAAGAGCATGCCTTCATCAAGCACCAATTAAGTCAGAGGAATCCTAATTCATATGGGGGCAATATCCAAAGAAAATGAATTCTTTGTAAGTCATAGTTATCAGAGATTTAAAGCTTAAAATAAAAGATGACTTGGGTATTTTTCCATTTTACTGTTATGTTTCCATTTGTTCTTTGTGCCATCTACTAAATATACCTCATGAGAGTACAGATCTTTTAAGTCTGCTGAGGAAGGGGTCAGCAGAAGACACCAGGAGAGATGTGCCATTACACAAAGCTACTTGAGATCCCCAACTCCAAGTTGACATTGGAGTGATGAATTAGCTTCTAGAACTAGAACACACTCCATGTGTACTAAATCCAATAAAATCCCGTGCTCTTGACAGACATTTCAGATTCAGACTATCATTGATCTGAAGTGAAGTGGTGACCACAGTGAATGAATGAATAAAACATGCATGCCTGTAAATTCTGAAGGTGTTAGGGGAGGAATCCTAGTAGTGCATGTTGCCCCCTCTAAATCTGCTCTCTGGTCCTAAGTTCAGATTAAACCAATTATGGAAGAGTGCGTGTCAGGGTCCCTCACACCACAGCCACTGCACTGTAAAGCCCCAATCAACGTTTGCCAAATGACAAGGTACTGGTAATAATTACAGAGAAGTGACTATGGGTAGTCCTATTCCAGTTTGATGTATTCATACATTATTAGAGGCTGAAGCCTTCACCTGAGAGAGGTGTCAGGCCTGTTTGGCCCTGACCAGAGCATCTTGTCCACACATCACAAAAAGATGAAAGGTCTCCCTGCTCACCCAAAGTGGATGAGTCAACATCAACAGAACTGGACTGGGTAGCAAGCCAAAGGCTGTGTCAGTGACAACATCTAATGGCTCTGTGAGATATCCAGACATTTTAAAAGGAAATGACAAAATAAACAAAAGACCACACAAAAATTAGGAAAAAACTCAATAACTGATGAAACTAATTTTCTTCCAACTACTTTGCAGTCATAGGTCCAAAATTAGATGGAGTTTTGTACTGTTTAATTCCTTTAATTAATTAGTTAATTGATCCCTTAATTCCTTTGCTCAAGGGTAACAGCATGATAAATCAATGGCTCTGTTTTCATGATGTGGTTGCTTGAAAAAGTTCCACCATCTCATACAAGGCAGTTATGGTCCACTTGGCCAAATGATCAAAAGTCTCAGGGATAATGGGTCAGGACTGATTTAGTACACCTGGCCAGCATTCACCATGTCTCCATCAGAGGAAGCATTTGATGCTAACCCAGAGGGATTTCCAGCTGCCCATTCACGATGCTGTGACTGATGCTACACAAGATACAGAAACTTACAAAGCTGTGGTGCTTTTTCTTGGCTTGCTAATTCATTAGCTTGAAATCAGCCCTGTTCAGACTGCCGGGCATGTGTCTGCAGGATTTTAACATTAAGATGAACTTTGTACCCAGTTTACTAAAAAAAAGGAGTGAAGAGGGTGCAGGAGGGAAGCTGGGAGCTTTCCTGAAGTTTCAGAATGACAGTGTCAGCCTATGATTCATGAGGATAATAGGTGGTGAGAGGGAGGGGATGGGCCACAAGGGTCGGAATAGACAGAGCTAGGAGTTGGCAGTGGCTGCTATGACTGAGAAAGACCATGCTATGGCAGACAGAATCCAGAGCAAAGAGAATACAGACAGTAATAAAGATCCAGAAACTAAAACAACTCTTAAAGCAAACAAACCTAGAAGGCGGCATGCCTTTTGACAGTTCTCTCCAGATGGAAAGAGACACCACGATCTGCTGGGCTGTGTTGTGGAATGAGACAGAGCAGGGCTTTTCTACTGCTTTTTACTAACCCTGTGGTTTCAGTATGGTCTACGGTCACCACTGCTGCCACCTTAGATTACAGTGAAGGCAAAGCTAGAAGCCTCAGCATATTCTCCAAGTTCTCTGACTGCTCATTTTCTGGGCCTGCATTTTTGCTTAGCATCTCTGCCAGGTGGCAACAGCAACAACAAACGAGGAAACCTTTATGCCTTTAACTCACGAGCACTAGAGTGTTGCACTGCCTTTTTCTGGGACCTGACTGTTTTCCCATGTGCATTCATGTTGGACAATGAAATGAGTATATTTAAAAATAAAACCATCGTGGAAATCAAGGATGAGGACTGGATCAGAGTCCATACCACTAACACTTAAGTGTCCTCATGTTTGACTGTGCAGGCATGCCATTCCCAGAGCTCCACCTGCGTGTAATTAGTTAAGTTTAGAAAACATCCAGAAGGCTTCACCTCTTCCCAGATGTAAGTTCACTCCTGATCTGATGCAATATTATACTTGGAATAGTGCCACAGTCACATCACCAACATGGTGTGTAATAAAAATATCTTCCTGCTATTTGTATTAATAGACTGATTCCTTCCCTTGAGAGACAATCACATTATAATCAATGCTTTGCTACTAATGCTATAGGAGGTATCAATGTCCTCCAGCTTTGGTGGAAAGAGAGTTCAAGTTATACTTACAGGAGGCCCCAATACAATTGGCTCTGTTTGCAGATACTGTCCCATGGATAATGGTGGGTTATGATATAAAGCCCTTCTGGGAGATGGTGCTCTGATGGTGGTCATATATCTTCTCTCTCTTCTGGGAGAGAGGTCTCTTCTAGCTGTAATGTCTTTCCCAGGAGACAATGGCCTCCTTGGGGACAAATGCCTTCTTGGTGAAGCATCCCCTTGAGACATCTCTCTCCTCAATGCAGCTTCTTTTCTTGGTGACAGATGCCTCATGGGTGACAAATCTCTTCTGGGTGATAAATGTCTCCTAGGTGACAAATCTCCTTTGGGTATCAGATACCTCTTTGGCGAATTATCTCGACAGGGTGAAGAATCGTATCCCGGTGAGGAATGGTGGCTTGAGGGGGAGAAATCCCTTGGGGAGGAGCTTGGTTCCGAAGACAACATGGCCTCTTCATCCATGCAACTCGGGATGTCCAACCTGTCTTTGTCTGGTTCAGAGTCTGTACTTTTGCTCTGGAACAGCCTCTGATACTCTGTCATCTGGGTATCTTCACACGAGTCACTGGGTGTCATAAGCTGAGTAACCTGAATACTTGGTAGAGTAACCAAATAGCTGATCAATGAAGAATGTCCCAGAGAGTTATCTGGAGGGACTCCATGGGGTACAGCGCCAACATTGACAGGCAAGGAGGAGAACCTAGGGGGCTGAGGACTGGTACTTCTTGACCTTGTTTTGGGTGTCAAATCTCCCTGGTCATCAAAGTCGTCATCATCTTCATCATCATCATCATTATCATCTCCATCTTCGCCATCAGATTCCTCAGCATCTGAGAACTGGTGATCAGTTGAAACGCTGGACATGCTATGCTTCTCAGATGTTTTGTGCAATTCTTCCATATTTTCTGAAATAATACAACAATAACTATGATTAAAATCCCAGTTTCAAGGCTAGGAGTTCACATCTGGGCCAACACTCTTTCCCAGAACTTTCCTTAGGTCCTGGGACCCTCTGAAACAATCACACGTCTGAACTACCCCTGGACACTTACTTGCCCCTGCTTATTTTTTTTCATCCCCAAGAATTTCAGAATTGGATCTCATATTTCAGACTTAAGAGAGGTATCATTAGAAAACACTAGACAAATGGATGTGGCTAATATTGCTGGTGAAGAAAAGGGGTACCTCAGGAGGTTTGTTGACCTACTGAGGTTAACCATAGATATATTTTCTCCTAGGTTTCCTCTAAGTAGGAACACTAACACATTAAAATGTGTTCATTTCCTCCAAAAGTACATAGATCACAGTCTCACCCTCCTCACACACACATCCCTTGACAGTCTGAGATACAACTATTTTCCTAGTAAGGCCTCCCTGCCTTTAACACAAGTTACACTTGAAACGCTTTTGTTTCTCCTCAGTGGTTTCAAGCAATTCACTGTGCCGCTTTATTTCATGCAAAGAGTATTTTAAAAGCTGACACACAATCACTGGGCCATAAAGCCCACCAGAGAGGCCAGTCAACTCAGGAAGTTACACACCTGCTTCTTCAGTTTCTGTGTCCTCTACTGAGGTCATTGAGACGCCCAGCTCTAGACACTTCTTCATGTGTGCTTTGGATTTCATGTGTTTCGTTAGGTTTCCTAGAAAATACAAACAAGAAAACAAAGAGAATTAACTGGCTATCAAACTGTGGTGATGGGTACAAAATGTGTGTGGTGAACTAACTTGGGTATGTACATTTTTCTAATGTATCAAAAAGAGACTCAGGGATCAATTTGGATGTATAGAGCCTATTCTTTAATTCTGATGAAATTATCATGTTATTTTCCGTTATCATCTTGACAATGTAGTAGCAAATGTATCAGTAAGCACCTGATAGCCAAGTGCAGGCTCCCAGCACCCTGGTGGGAAACAACATGATCAAAGTATTTTTTTCTTTAGTAGGGCTATGCTGGGTATTAAATAAATAAATAAAACTGTTTTTCTAAAAACTACTATCTTATATTATAATTAATTTGTTGCTCACACATCTAAGAACTCTATATATTAGTTTAATGCCTCTAATACAAATATTACTACACCTTTATTGCTCCTATCAAAACATCTTATCTACAATTTTTAAGGAGCTCAATTTTTGACTCTACTAATTCTTAAAGATATAAGCGAATTAAGCTTTATTAAATTCCATTGATTCATGAAACTCATCTGTTTCTGCTACAGTTTGCATGTGGATGGTGTGCACATGCTAAGTCTGGCAAGATAATTTACAGCTAGTCCCCTGTATCCATGACTTCTACATCTGTAGACTCAACCACCCAAGGACAATAAAAGAAAATTGAAAAACATATTATCTGTATTGAACAAGTTCAAACTTTTTTCTTGAGTATTCCATAAACAATATGATTTTTTAAAAAACTTGTACAGCAATCACATTGTATGAGGTATCCAAGTAATCCAGAAATTATTAAAGTACACAGGAGAATGTGAGTTGTGTATCAGCAATACAGCACCTTGTATGGGGGAATAAATATCGGTGGGAGGTCCTAGGATTAATCCCTCTTAGACACAGAGCAAACTGCATTTCAACTTTAGCATGCCTCTTCATATATAGTATATATGAAGTATACATATTCATATTCCACAGTGGTACTCATTTGGGCTCTAGACTCCCCTCCTCTGAGTAGATTTGTATCTTCAGAGTAAGTTTGCAGTTAGAAGCTGGAAATGGAAACATCTGTCTGGGCTTTGATTTGTAGGAGCCATGAGCACCCGGGGTAGCAGCTAGAGCAAAGAGAACGAGAGGGCTGGGAGCTTGGTACAGACAAGGAGGAAGGATAGGTCCTTACACTACACTTGTGCTCAGAGAACAAAACCCCAAAAAGTAGTTATTTCAGCAGGAGATGGATCTAGCGGCGCTTCCTAGGTTGTATTACTCACCCCCAAATTCTGAGACCTCTAGCTACATGCTTCCAAAGGCTGACAAGAAAATTCCATTAATGATCAAATGTATACTACTTCCTGCTGATATTTTTAGACCACAGTTTAGAACCAAATTTAATCAGCTACTTAAAAATTTACTGTTTTCATCATCCAGTTCCATGCATCCCTACTGACAGCAAACCCACAAGTCCAGTGAAGACATAAGCTCTGTAACAACTGGTGGTCTTGCAGTGTGTCCTAAACAAATCACACCTTTAATTAATTTTCTTTCCTCCTAGGGATGTCTCAGTGAGCTGGATCCTGCTAATGGAAAGGGGTATTTAAAGAGCAACATACTTATTTCTTTAGAAATACAAATGAATATGCTCCCTGTCTCTTCTTGGACTTCATTATGGACACATAAATATCCTTCTAATAAACACCAGATATTTGAAGACACTAAACATTCATACTTTCATAAAAAAACCACACAATTTAGGTTGTGGATACAACTGAAATAGATATACATCCTCCTACCAGAGTGTCATAATGCATATCTGCTTTTAATTGTTGACATCAGAGCAGGTTACTTGTTTTAAAATTTAAAGTTAAGACACTGATAATGAAGTGGAGTTGATAAGGGGCTGTGTACAAGCTACTTTAGAGAGACCTGACAACTCAACATGGAGATTTCCATTGTATTACAGAATAACAGGAATATAAGTGCCGCAGCCATGAGTGAAATATCTTCCTATAAATCAGCCTATTGAAACAGACACTCGAAAATGATAGAATGTTATTTCAAGGCAGGCCTGAGTTGGAAGACATTAACCGTTGAGGTCTGAGAGTAAGACCTGTCTCCATGTCGATGAATACACAGAGCAGCAGCTCTCAAATCTCGATGCATAATTAATGCCGCTGTGGATGGAGGGGGCCCACCGGGGAGTCTGTGGATCCTTACATTATTTATACTCTTGAAACTGACCATGGGCACATGTTTTCTTCCCAGTTGCTTTCCTTGCTTATCCACTGCCTCTCATGTATTGCCTCCCTGCAGAATTTCAATATTGGAGCAAATATTATCTAGCCCACATACATTTCCCACATGAAGTAATGGCTATCCAGGCACTTGTAAGCCACTTCCTTCAGAGACAACCTGCCTGGCCGTAAGCCTGTAGCTCTTAATTAGTCATCAAAGGAGACATACAGTCTCACATACATCCTTTAACCCTGAACAGGAAGGATGAAGTATACCTCAGGCGGTCATATTTTAACAAACAAAATACTCTTTCTGGCTGGTGAAAGTGAGTGAAAAAATAGTATTCAGAGTCCTAAATAGCCAGAAGTTATCCTGAAATCTTCTCCTGCCCCCCACCACCAAAACAACAAATGCGACAAAAATCATGCTCTCACCTTTTGTTTTGAAAGCGAAATTGCATAACTTGCACACATAAGGCCGGACATCAGTGTGAGTGCGAATGTGCTTTTTGAGCATGCTTGGCTTCTTACAGCGGATTCCACACTCTTCACAGATGTACTTCCCACGTCCACGCCCTCTGACATACACGTAATCTTCGTTTGATTTATACCTAATTGAAGAAGAGGCAATACATCCTGATGTCAAATACTCTTAGCATGTGATACACCAAGCCTGACTTTAATTTTTATGAGGGTCTTTCCCAATTATTCATCTTGACTTCTATGAAGCCTAGAAGGTTATACAGCAAATATTTGAGACAATCATAGAACAGATTTATCACTGTAAACAAAATGTCATTCTAGATGGAATTGCATATTTACAGATGTAATATACACATGTTCCAATAGGTTTACGTAGGCCTAAAGAGATAGACCTGGACCTACTACTTTTGGGCATTAATATAGCCTCCAATCAAGGAACATCGCCAAAAACATCCCAACATATTAGGACAATCATGCTTCATGCATAATGTGTTAACATGACATCATCTACAATATACGTGTGCAAACACTCCTCTCCATTTGCTAAAATAAGCACAACTGAGAATAGAATGCTTCCTTGCAAGTTTCCACTCTATTTTTACAATGCTGGCACATGAGTGCCTCAGAAATTTCAACTTTACACAGACTGAGCTCAGTTCACCAACTGTTGTCTACAGATCTGGTCTGTTCTTCCCAGCATCATGAATCTGTACTAATGTGGAGTCTACATGTTGACTGGTTTCTTAAAGGCACTGTTGCATAATGAAAACTGGAGACTATGGAATAAAATTAGCATTTGTTTCCTGAAGGATTTCACAGAGAGGTTTGAAAGGGTATCTGGGGCCATCTACTTCCAAGAAATTAAATAGATGAAAAAGTCTTAGAAAGAAGAAAAGAAACCCACCTAACGTTCTGCAATCTCATTTTGCTTAGAAAACAATAGCACATGATTCATCAGAAGACCATAGACTTCTTCTTCACAACTAAATGAATAGAATGATTCCTTACATTGTAGAAGGCTGGAATTTTAGATCCCCTATCATTCTGGGAAGAAAGCATTTCTAGGGGTTCTCTGTATAGCTTCCAACAATAGGCTAACATGCAAAATTCCCTGTTCATTATGGATTTCCTAAGTGGTGCTTAGATCTACAGTTGGTTTTTACATTCCAAAAGGCTTGTGACTCTTCTTTCCATCTTGCTCTAGCTAATACTCCAACAGGTACAAAGACATATTTGAATTTGCCGAAAGCTTTTCAAGAAGGAAAACATCCACCCACATAAAGGAATACCAACTCTGCTGTCAATAATACTTGATCTTAGCATGCTTAACATTGTGGTCAGTACTAACTTAGGGGAAAAAGGGAGGTCATCAATTTTGCAGGCCCTTTCCCCTTTTATAAGATATCTCGACTTTGACTTGGTGTTCAAACTTGTTTTTTTTTCACATTTGAATTTTAGAATAAATCATCAATATACAAAAATGTCCGTCTCTATTCAATTTTATTCTCTGTTCCCTAAGGAGGTAAAACTGTTAAGGGGGTAGGGTGATCTTACAAAAAGTCAATAATCTTCAGGGAAGGATACTCCAGATTTATCTACAGCCTGTCATCACAGTTGTTTAGAAACACATTTGATCCTCAAGCGAAAGAGTTTATTTTCAGTGGCTTCTGATTAACTCATTTCCAAAATGGAATAAAGTAGAATTCTACATAAATTTACATATGGGGAGAATGTGTTCAGATAGCCTCTTTATGACATTTCTGCAGACCCACAAATCTACCTGATACATGATGGATTTTGATGAAGAGTACTTTAAAGAAACACAGATTAACCCTATCAATTAGGTAACCTGGATAGTCTGGCCAGTAATTCTTCGTTGTTGTTGCTAACACTTTGCAAGCAACAATATAAGAGATGGGAACACACTGCTTGGAATGAATGCATGGGTACCAGAAATTGGTAGAGAATTGGCTCAGCGATTTAATAATGATTGGGCAAGGAATAGAAAATAAAATAAAATACATGCAAATTTTCTGAATCATAAAAGTGATAAGAGGTTCTCAGATATGCTTTGACTTATATTATCTGTGAGTGGAGATGGATTCCCCAAAGCATAGAGTAATCCTTATGGCCTGTAAACTACTGGGACATATATACTACTCTGAAGAAGGCTGCTGCATAGAAGTATGGTTACTGAGTCACAGAGACCACTTTGTCTCTCGGGAAAGATAAAATTCCACATTCTTCTCGTTTGTGAAGAATGAAATGTGGGATGTCAAAAATATTGAGGCAAAGTTCATGCATACATGTAACTGTGGTTAAAAGACTCAATGCCTAAATAGGGCAAAAATCCAAGGGCAACTCAACTATAAGGAACAACTCCAAATGGTAAAACTGTGAGAAAATTTGTGTCCCTTACAGTCAATATTTCTTAGTAAAAAATAACACTGTTTTGTCCTTCAAATGTTATTGGAATAAATATATGTTCATGAAACTATGTAACTTTTTGATAGGTTGGTGATATAGGAATAATGACTAATCCCCAAAATGTAATTAAAAAACTTTTAGCTTAAGTCATACATCTAGACTTCTTCTATGGATTATGCAAAACAATATATTTCCATTGAAACATAAAAGTAGCTATTACATGCAAATGCATTTTCTTAATTATATGTATAATGAAACCATTGAACCTTACTATTTAAGCTTCAATGACTCAGAATATTTGAGAAGAGGTTGTTATACACCAATACAGATAGGGAAATGCAACCTGATACCTTGACTTGAATCAAGAGCAAAAAGGGACACGGGTGGTGAAACTGTCAATATCACATGAAAGTTTACAGCTCAAAGAAATGATTTCTTAGAAAAATACTGAAGTATGCATGATTCTGCTAACATCAACATAGGATAAAAATATGCCCGTGTAGTAACCCAAATGTCCACAAAATGTTAAAGAATGAAGGAACTTAAGTGACACCAAGAGGCTGTCAGTGTAGAAGATTTCATATAAGATTAGAGATGTGAAAGCTTAAGACAGACACTCCATGCATAATGGGACCATGCTCACTGAGGACAAGTCCTAGAAGAAGATGTATGTAGTTTCAGTCTTTTACTAACCAGAGTTCATAGATTGGACTGGGAAAGGAAATTTCCTTTGACTCCTGCTAGAGTACACACTATTTACCACAGGCAAACATTCAGGACCAGTCATTCCAACTTACAACTAAACATTTTACATTTGGGCTTATGTTTTCCTTACCCCCCTTCAAAGATCTTGATTCGGATTGGCTCGGTTTGTTTGGATCCAAGATCTTTGTCTCCATGGATCTCTGCTTTCCCTCTTTCCTTTAAGACATTTCCCACTAATTTCCTTTCTAGCTTGCTGCCAAACAAGAAGGGTGCATCAGGTTTCATCTGTGGGGTCAAAAGAGAGGATCAATTCACATGCTTTCTCCAGGATATCCTGACCCATACATCCCACACTTTGGTCACCTCTGAAAGTCAACTTAAGTTCCACAATAAAAAGCTATGGGTTGATTGAAGAAAACAAGGACTCTGGGGGGCAAAATCAGAGGGAAGATGAGTTTCCATGTGGTGAATTCGATGTTTGTGTTAGTGCATGGACACTGTTTAGTTAGCACTTCCGTTGCCCAGTGTTGACAGAGACTTCAAAGACATTCTACATTTTTGAATTAGCAAGTCAAACAATCCATATTAAGACGTTGTCTCAAAAATAACCGAAAGCAGAATAATCACTGACATGCACGAGAAACATATTTTTTAAATCTATTTTCTTCATTATTACTTGGGTTTATTCTAAAAGTATTCATTTTTAAAAGTTTTACATGTAAGTACTAACTGTTTAGGAGCAAACTAGTCAATAACAATAACTAGAAGTTATTTCTGAAAAAGACATATAGAATATAAACTTTAGTCAAGCACATCCTTGGATCATTGATGGCATTTGCTAATTTGAGCTCCAACACCATACTTCCTTCCCAATCTCTTTTCAGTATTCATTTTTTTATTACACCATTTCATAAACCCCTGAATTCCTTATGTCTGCCTGTGCTATTACTTAGGAGGACAGAGGGAAATGACCAATGGACATTATTCCCAGTAGGAGAATGTTCCATGTCTGGGCTGAAGTAGACATTCCCATCCTTTGAAGATTTTCTTGGAAGCCCTCAGTGCTAAGTGCTGACTATGGCTTCTCCATTGCTACGTAAGGCCAGATTACTGAATATTCCCGTGTATCTTTGAAGCTTTGGATCTTCTACTCTTCACTGTACAGTCTGCCCCGGATTAGACCCACAACATGCTTTGCTTTCTAACCCTGGGCCTGTCCTTACCTGTGCAAACTGCTTCCAGGCACTGGAGGATGTGAGCTTGCCAGTTCCGGGCCTGTGCATAGCAGCCAGAGTATAAATTTCTGCCGTGATTTTTTGTTTGGATCTCAGAAGGGCCAGCGTGGTCTTGGTGTTCAATCCTGATGGGTTTGGGTTACAGGAACTAATGCACCATGAAGCATAAACTGAGGATTTGAAGGTGGCCTGTTGCACAAAATTGGGTTTTGTATAATTTAAGAAGCACCAACTCACAGTAGTTGTTGTCCGCAGACTGGGGAACTGAAGGATCTGCTGGAAATCTGCCACGTCTGTGAAAAGAAGAGTGGAATTTGCCACATTTCCACCAGGGCCAGAGGCCATGTGAACTAGCATGCCAACAGGCAGCTTGCGGGCCTTCCCTTCCTCTTCTTGCTGACTGCCTCCGGTGGGTAGGGAAGAGCTCTGAGGGCTCATGCTCATGTCTGACGCAGACTCGTCGATGTCCAGCTCGTCCGAGGACTCTCTGCTTTCCGAAGGCCCGCTGAACTTCCGTCGTGGAGGTGCCCTGGAACCCGGAAGTATCTCCCTGCTGGGAGGAAAAGGCCCAGGAGCAGATGGATGGTCTTGAGAGGAGGAGGGCGACAGGGAGGAGAAGGAAGATGACCTTGACTGGGAGCCATCCTTCGGCTCCGAAGCACACCCTTGCCTCACTAGCTGGGGCTTCTGGGGGCGGGAGAGGCCCTTCTTGATGTCTGAGTTGGTTAGCTCCACTGCACTGAGCTCTTCCACAATCTGCCCGTACATCTTCTCCTCTTTCACCCGTTTCTGCTGCTTTGTTTCCATGAAGAGCTCCAAACTGCTGGCTGGAGACAGCATCCGCTTGCTTCCTCCGAGAGAGGCTGCGCTGTCCGAGGTGGAAGGTAAACACAGGGGGATGGAGGATTCCAAGCCCAGAGGTAAGGTCTGAGGTACTTTCCAAAGAGGGTATTTTTCCAAGCCTGTGTGCTGCCCAAGCACTTGGGCAATGTTCAGTCCTATCCCTTGCATGGCTGCATTGGTCACCAGTGTTCTTTGGGTCATATTCTCATCAACCTTGCATATGACAATGGCGGGGCTATTCTGTCCGAGTATCTGAGAAATGCTTGTGTACATGACACTGCCATAGGACGGAACGTGAGTCTGGATCCGAACAGGCACCACCGTTCCCGGGAGGGACTGCAAAGGCCCAGCATTTTCAGAGGCAAAATCTTCTCGAAGAAGCTGCTCGCTGGGCACTTCCGTGGATTTACTGCTCGGGTCTGACGGAAACTTCGGAGGGAGGTTCTTGGAGTGTAGCCCTGATGTTCCAGAATAACACGGGTAAGTCTGCTCTTTAGCGTGTGCATAGTCAACAGATTTCTTTCCAGTGTGTTCTGCTACGTGCTCTAAGGGGTAGCTAGAATGAATGTCAGCTTGGAAAGAAGGCTTGCTGTAGCTGTTTTGGGGGTGTGGGGCAAAGGGGTGAGGGAAATGTGTTTGCCACCAGGGAGGCTGCTGAGCTGGCAAATGAACCATACAGACAGTCGGGTACTGAAACTGGAACAAGGCATTCTGGAGAGGAGAGAACGGGACTGTGTCTTGATGTGGAAACAGATGTGGCTGCTCGGGCAAGTGCTTGCTCGCCATGTAGGACGCTGGTTGCATCAACGGATTTCTCAGAGACTCCTGACTGTCCATGTGCATGATCTGTTGCTGGGCAAGGTGGACTGGTGGCCCTGAGCTCAGCTGGCCACAAGGACCGGCCACCTGCTTTCCTGGGTCATCCCCTGGGAGAGGCGGGAGCACAGAGGACCATGCAGCCCTAAGGCCAGCGTGTAGCTGCTCCATCTGCTCCTGCTTGACGCTGGGGTCCGCACTGCCTTCACCTTGGACGACTTCTGGGGAGCCACTGAAGGAAGCCTGTCGTACCAGAAAGCATTTCTTCCTCTCCCGGGATGGTGACAATGTTGACGGGGTTGCTCCTGCCACCGGAGCATGGGACAGATTCCCATAATCAAATGATTTACTCCGTATTTCTGGGACTTCCGTCGGATGAGGACAAGGCATTTGCTCGGAGGAGCATCGCCGCATTTCTTTCTGGTGGTGATGACCTGGGACAGACAACGAGTATGAACCTGCGGGGACAGTCAAAAACTCAGAGTGTTTGCCACTCTCATCCTGCTTAGGGGGCACAGTGAGCTTAACCGTCTCTTCTCTCTCAAAGGACATTGAGAAGCTGGAACTGTGTGATAAGTTGCTTTCTTGGCTGGGACTTCGAGAGAGGCCAGTGCCTGTGGACTCAAAACTGGATTCTCCTGAGGAGTGCTCCATGTCTGCAAGCCTCAAGCGTTTCTTTTTGGGAGGCAACTTCTCAGCAGGGAGTTGGGAAAGGGTCTCACTTCTCTGGGGCCACTGAAATTCCTCCACAGGTTTCTCTGGCTCCTTGGCAGGAGTCTCCTTCTCCTTCTCAGGTTTATCGGGTTCCTCTGTGACTCTAATTTCGGGAACCTGGATGTTGTGCTGGCGAACAAGCCTAGGTTGTGCATGGTAGGACGTTTGTGGCACCTGCTGTAAAGGGGTTGGCCTGCTTCCACTCTCTGCACCATCCCCAGGAGGAGCCCACTCTGGGCTTATAGGGGCTTCCAAAATCTCACTGTCACATGTCTCAGAAGGTGAAGGGGTCTTGTCCTGTGCACAGGCCACCATTTCGGCTGACTCGGCTCTTTCGAAGGAGTTGGGCCGGCTCAGCGAGTTTGTGTGCTGAATCACTGAAATCACATTTCCAGGAGGCTTCCTGCCCAGGTCTGACATCCTGTCAGGGTCAGCAGCTGAGGGCAAATCCTCTGACCCAAGAGATGAACTTCCAGATGGCAGCTGGGGCCGAGCTGGGTCAAACCGCTCAGCATGACCATGAGGAAGGTTCTCTTGGCCAGTCATGACGAAGCCACTCCTGCCACCTTCCTGCATCTTGGGGTCATATTCTGAAGACATCATGCTCACGGGAGCACTTCCCATGCCACCACAAATCATGGGAACATCCTCCTCATCCCCGACACTCTTCTCTTTCCTGCGTTTTCTGTTCTCGCAGGTGGTCCCGAACATGGTTGGCACTCCCTGCAGTGGTACGGAGGGGTCCATAAAGTATTCTCCTCCGTGCTTGAAAGAACTTAAGCAAGAAATGTCCCTGTAGCTTTGTTTTGGTGTTTCGGAGTCTTCCCACTTCTTATATGGTTTACGGCAGACATCATAGTCATACCCAACCCTGTCTCCGGGAACCAATTTCTTTTCCTTCAGAGAGGAGCTGGCAAGGCTCTTGGACATTCTGGCAGGGTGCTCAGACTCCATGTGCCCCTCCTGTACCGACGGCAGCTCGAATGCCGCCTGTCGCCTTAACATCCGCTGGGGAGGGATGCCTACAGTGCCGGGATAGAACACATCATCCGACCCTGTCATCCGTTCATCAAATGAGTGACTGCCTCTCAAAGAAGGAGGAACACTTAAATTAGTTGCTGAAGAAGTCGGCATGGAGTTGCTTCTAATAAGGGGTGAAGAGTCCACAGGTGCCTCTAGGAGCATTGGGTTGCTGCTTGGGAAGTTTCCTGGGTAAAGTTTCCCCTCATTCCTGCTGGATGACGGGATGGCCTGTGGTTGCCTGCAGTCACTGTTGAATTTTGTGGGCTTCAGCAGGCCTGCTTGACCAGGGTCCATTTCTCCTTTGCTGGGAATCAGCTGTGAGACAGGATCTTCAAACATCTTGACCTCCAACCTGGTGTTTACCTGAGGTAATGGTTCCATGATGCCTCTCCGTCCCATGGTGGTGCGCTCCTGGCCGGTGGGAGTAACACTGAGCGTATTCCGTGGACTAAGTCGACAGTATTTTCCAAAGATGATTTCTTCATAAGACTTGGCGTTTGTGTTGGGGGGGCTTATTTGCTGCTCCGCACTTTCCGAGCGAGAAAAGTAGCCAGAGTCGGTGCTTCCCTTGCTATGTGGGCTCAGAAGGTTGAGGGATGGCTCAGAGTCTTGTCCCTTCTTCTCTGACAGTCGCAGTGCAAGCTTCTGTTTCACTGTGTGAGAGTCATCGGGCTTAGCATTTAAAGAAGGATTTGGGAGCATGTCAGAGCCCAGATACTGAGAGCTCTCATTAGGTAGCGGGATCCCACTTTTGGGGATAATCAAAATTGGCACCTTCATCGGACCTCCCAAAGATTCTTCCAAGGACCCATGGTAGCTACCTCTGCTAGCAATATCCAATGGGATGGGAGGGCCAGGGCTCATTTTGTCAGAAGCCTCAGCAAACAAAGAGCTCTCCTCATCCGTGTCGGTACTCTGCTCACCATCAGAGTGTATCTCTGCTTCTACATCAATAAAACCAGCCTCAAGTTCCAATTTAGATACAGATGACTCTGTGAAAGGAACCAATCCAGCCTTAATTGCATGGGCATGAGACTTCCTGTGCTTGTACAAATTGCTCTTTGTCTTGAAAGAGAAACCACAAGGTATGCATGGGTATGGCCGCTCACCAGTATGGGACCTGATGTGTTTCTTTAGGACGCTTGGTTTGGCACATGCCCTACTGCAGTATGGGCAGATATATTTGCCGGGCTTTTTAGGTTTGTGCTCTTTCTTGTGAGCATCATCTGCCTGTTCAATACTTTTCTGGGAGTACTGGCTGTAAGCAGGGTTGAGACTTGAGATCTTCTTTCTAGGATAACTGCTACCGTGGCCATGGATAGGAAAGGGAAATAAGTCCTCAGAGGCAACGGATGGCAAAGGGCCAGGGAAAAGCCAGGGAGGCCCTTCTAGGCTCTGGTGTGGCTTGTTGCTGTGCATGATGCTCTGTGGTAATGAGTGCTGAGGGAAGGAGAGGGAATGCTGGCATGGGTAAGGGCTCGGACGGTGTGGTGGGTATTGCTTCTCTGTGACTTGATGTACCCCCTCGCCAGGAGAGGCCAGTGTCCCAGAACCAAACAGTTGTGCTGATGCTGCATTTCCCACTTGCTCGGAATCTATTTGTGGCTGCCGCTGTCCTTCCTGACTGCCGAAAGTGCTCATCCTAACAACAGCTGATTGTTCCTGCCGCCATCTACCTGACACACTGTCAGTTTCTCCAGACCTTGAGGTAGCTTTTTGTCCTAGAGCTGTGTCCCCAGTGTCCATTTTGTTACACAAGGTCTTAAGTGCTACTTTGCCGGGAAGCCGAGCAGACTCATGGAGTGTCTCCAAGGCTGTGCTTTTTAAATCTGGGTTGCTTCCATGTTCCTGGTTGTCTGCAAACTTGTGGATTGTTCCCTCTCTCTGGAACCTTCCACATTCACACTGTAGTCAGTGGGCATTGGATGGCAATGTCCTTGAAACCAAGTTATAACACAGTTTTCTCCATCTCAAAAATGTCCATCTTCAAAAGCAAAGTGCAAAGCTACAAAGGTTCCTTATGACATTTGAATATTTTTCAACTAGGATGAAGTTAGGGTGCTGAATAGTCCAGGAGAAATTTTGCCCATCAACTCCAGCAAAGTTCAACAGCCAGCTTCACTAAAGTACAATGGCCTGAAGGAAAAGAAAGCAAGTTGTCATTAGAGTCACCAAATAAGACAGCAAGACCAATAATTTATAGTTATTGCATTAAATACCTAACTAAAAGACATGAATTTGAAACCCAGAATTACATTATGAGTGTAAGTTTCTCCCATGGCCAATGTGCAGAACATTTAGGAACTGTATGTTGAGTCTGAGCTCAGAGGCAAGGCAACATGCTTAGCATCTTTGAGGCCTTGGGTTCCATGTACCATGCACATCTCATTTGAAGGACAGTGTACTGTTAAATATTGTTTATAATATATGCCATTAAAGCCTTAATTAGAAACTTGAGAGCTATTCCTAACCAATTTTTATGGGTTGCAAATGCAGACTGTATTGTGTAACTCTGTAGCTTAAAACAAATTATACTCATATCTGTATTAAAATAAAATATAAAAAGTAAATAATAAATATAATCAACTTAATATAATAAATATGTTATAAAACACAACTGCATGTAATTTCAAGTAGTATTTTAATACAAGACATAGATATGTTTATAGCTTGAGAATAGCGATCAGCAGAGCTAGATCGAAGATAGAAAACACAGAGATCATCAAAGAACTTTGGTGAAATCATATCAAGGTGTCTTAACAGAACAGTCTTAAAACCTTCATAACCTGGAAAGCAAAGCCTGCTTGGAGGCCAGTTTAAGGGGCATTTGAAAATGAAGAGGTTACCTGAACAGTTTAGAGTTCTCATGGACATGATTGTGCTGACGCGTCCTGTATAGAAAACAAACACCATTAGGAAAAACTACTCCATTAAAATACAGCATTATTATACAGAAATAATGTCCAATGCACTAGGGAGGATGAGAGTCACAATGCTATGTGCCTTAAAACAACAACAAGGTTTTTTACAATGCACTGTCCTAGAGTGGTTAGCCTTATGCTGGGCCACAGCAGTAGTAATAAGAGTTGGGTCAGTGCTTTCTTTACTGCACAAGTTCAGGAAACTGAGAGATGGTACAGATTTTGTCCAAAGTAAAAAAAGCTATAAAAAAGTTGTAGTAGACATATGACAGTAGCAATTGTTTGAAATAAAAATCAAGAGGGCAATCCATTTGCAATAGCTTCTATAACAAAAAAGAGTATTTAACCAGACAGTTGAAATATCTCTATCATATAAAACATTGATGAAAGAGACTGAAGAGAATACATAAAAACTTGGAAAGACAACCCAACTTCCTAGACAATAAGAATCAATATAGTTATATCGCCACTATCCAAAATAACCTATAGATTTAATGCAATGCTCATCAACAGACATTCTTCACTTCTAGAATTTACATGGAGACACACATGGTGGGATATTATTCTGCCTTAAAAAGGATGAAAGTTTGGGGGCCATTGTGATGGCTCAGTGGGAAAAAGTGTTGCCATACAAGAATGGGACCACCTCGAATGCCCATTCCTGATAATGAACTTGATGTCTATAACTATCCGGGAGCCTTCATCCTGTGACTGATGGAAGCAGAGGCAAACACACAACTAAGCACTGAACTGAACCCAAGGAACCCAGTGACAGAGAGAGAGGAGTGATGAGCAAATTGGCAAAGAATGGGCTGGCAAAACCAGCAGAGACAGCTGATCTGAACAGGGGAGTGCTCTTGGACCCCAGACCGACAGTGGGGAGGCCAGCATGGGACTGATCTGGACCCCCCCAAATGTGAGTGTCAGTGAGAAGGCCTGGGCAACCTATGGGGCCCTGAGCTGTGGATCAGTGTCTATCCCTGGTATACAAACTGTCTTCATGTGCCTATAGCACAAAGAGAGATGCTCTCTCAGCCTGGACTCTTAGGGGAGTGCCTTGACCCTACCAAGAGTAAAATGACAGACTCTAGATATCCCCTATGTGGAAGGATTTGGCAATAGGGTGGGAGGGAGGGGGGAAAGGGGAGTGCGGGAGGAGGGGAGGGAGAGGGAACTGGGATTGACATGTAAAACAAGCTATTTAAAATTAAAATAAAAAATGATAAAAAAAAAAGAACTTAAATCTAAGGCTGGAGAGATGGCTTAGTGGTTAAGAGTACTGACTGCTCTTTCAGAGAACTAAGGTTTGATTCCTAGCACCCACATGGCAGCTCACAACTGTCTGTAACTCCAGTTCCTGGGGCCTACAACCAAGGGTAAAACACCAATCCACATAAAATATATTTCTTAAAAAGAACTTAAACCTAAAGTTTTAAATAGTAATTGTTATATTTCCAATATTTCCAAGACTATCACATGTAGCAAAGTTTATTTTTTATATGATTAACTGATAGCTAATTCCTTGGATATAAAAGGTGAAAATAGTAGTTAAAATTTGAATATTTAAATGAATCTCAGTGCTTAGGATTTGAATATTTAAATAAACTGTTTACATTTCAGAAGTGTGAAGGAGTCCCTCAGAGAAGGGTGACCAGCTCAGCCCAGGAGGAAGGATCACTTGATAACTGTTAAGACTTTTAAGTGAATCCTGGAGTCCCATATAGGACACATCAATGTGGTACCCAGAGGATCCTGAGGCTTTGGAGCTAAATCCCACCCACCAGTCAGGATAAAAGTGGAGATGTCTTCATGACAGCCTGTGTGGTACTGCTTATTGAAACAAAACAGCTAACATGTGGCTGAGAATCCCTTCACTGGAGGTTTACCCCGAGGATGAGCTTGTGCACAAAGAAATGTGTAGAAGGACTATTAAAACATGGTTTGCAGAGAAAACAGAACCACAAAAAGAAGTAGAGGCACTGATACCAGAACTTGCTTGGGAGACAGAAACTGAGTGAAGAAAAACTTATGGCACTTGAGTATGCATATTATGATCTCACTTCAATAAAACGAGAGGGAAAGTGGGTGGGGGTGTCACAGGCCTTTTTGATCCCATCACTAGGGAGGCACAGGCCAGTGGATCTCTGAGTTCAAGGTCAGTCTGGTCTGCAGAGTGGAAGAATTCCAGGACAGCCAACTCTACATAGAGAAACCTTGTCTTGAAAAACAAAAAAGAAAATAAAAAATTAAGGAAGATAGACAATTTCATAAGGATTAAGGATGCTGAGGTACTCTCTCTCTCTCTGTGTGTGTGTGTGTGTGTGTGTGTGTGTGTGTGTGTGTGTGTGTGTGTGTGTGTTGCATATGCATGTATGTTTCTGTGCATGTGGAGGTCAGAGGACAATCTCAGTTGTCAGTCGTCAGGTGGTATCCACTTGCTTTTGTTTGTTTGTTTGTTCTTTTAAGATAGGGTCTCTCATCTTTCCAAATACCCTGAACTGGCTGGTCAAAAAAAGCCCAAGTATTGGGTTGTCTCTACTTCGACAGCACTGAGGTTGTGAGCACAGCCACCACCCCTGCCCTTTCTATGTGGTTCTGAGGACCAAACTCAAGTGCTCAAGGTCTTTTCCAACTGACCTATCTCTCCAGACCTGAAGCAGTTTTTTTTGTTTTGCTTTGTTGTTGTTGTTTGTTTACTTGCTTGTTTTTTGAGACAGGGTTTCTCTGTGTAGCTTTGGAGTCTATCCTGGCACTCACTCTGTAAACCAGCTTGACCTCAAACTCACAGAGATCTGCCTGCCTCTGCCACCAGAGTGCTGTGATTAAAGACCTGCACCACCAATATCCGGCTTGCAGCAACTTTTAATAGCAATGAAGTTGTAGAGATGGAGCCAGACATTTATAACAAGACATTTGTTACAGAAAGCTTCTTCCATTAATAGCTATGAGGCATAATAAATAGATCTTCAACTCACATTTATAGAAACTAAACCACACACATGTTAATGTTGATTTGTCGGGAAGTTTTACATTGAATTGACGTTTGTCCCATCACAGTGATTTTTCCTAATTTGAAAGAGAAGTGTTGGCCTCAAAGTATATCAGTGAGAATTTACTTCTATTAATACTCAACATGAAACTAACAAAAATGCATGGCATTGTACCTAGTTGGTAAAATTCTGTGCATAATTCAATATTTAAGATTCCTGTAAATATAGCATATTTGGGACTTTGAGAGACAAGTATCACACTCTAAAATGGAAGCAGAATTTGCCTGTGACTCATGAAGAAGTATGCACATCCCCAATTGAGATAGGGTTTTAAATAATTTCCAATTTACTTCCTAGGTTTAATATTTTATATTTATATTGATCTATGACTGCAGCCCCAATGCTAACACTGCTTGAATATTTCTTTGGGGAAAAATTCTGGAATTCAAGACACTCCAAAATATGAAAACTTCTGAGCAGCAACAGGATGCCAAGAGGTAAAAATTTTCACTCCTGGCTTCATGTGATAAGTTGTACTCAAAGGCAGATACACTAAAAATAATAATTATTCTCGGGCCATATATATATATAATTCATATGTGAAATATAAATAAATTCTTAATTGAATTCCCAGATATATTTCTCTCTGTATGTGTGGGGTTTGTGTGTGTGTGTGTGTGTGTGTGTGTGTGTGTGTGTGTGTATTCAAATATTTCAGAATTTTTAAAAAAGCTAACATTTTTGTACTGGTCTTGAGTACTTCACATGAGGAACACTCAACCTATAGTAGGTAGCAACAGTAGCTGTCACTCACTATGCATTTGTTCTACACCAACACAGTTAAAACTCAAAAGATTTCTTATACGTTATCTCACTTGTTTTCTATGACACTTCTTGACTGTAGAACTATTATAACTACCCCACTGAAGAGGAAGACATCAAGAAGCTGAGAGTGGGAGCTTGAGTCCAACCCAGGCTTGGCTGACCTCTGAACACCAGGCATCTCATCCACACTCTCCATTAAGTCTCATCGCAACTCAAAACACTGTATCGCCAATGTTTTTTCTCTAAGTATTTTCACCTAACTCCAAAGTTTCAGTTACTGTCAGTATTTGAGACGAAATCGGGCGTGTTCAGGGTGGTATGGCCATAGACACTGTCAGTATTTGAAACCCTCAAGTTTCGAAGGCTCTAGAAGAAAATAATCTGACCTTTGCAGGTTGGAGATAAAGAAAATAGCCACAAATATGACTTGAGGAAAAAATGTTCATAATTTAAAGTGTTCTAAGTACGACTTAGGTAGCACCTTATGAGAACATTGGAAAGCTTCAAGACAAATTGTTCTCCTTTGTTCTCTGAGGATCATTACTTTAAAGGAAAATATCAACCTCAGAAGTGAAAATTAGCATTTATCACTTCCCATTCTTTGGATGACATACAATATGTAATTTTGCTATAACAGAAACTTCAAATGAAGTAAGGACAGATTTTTATGAAAAGAAAGACTCTAATGTAGTCATGTTTTCATTGACAATGGGGGTACATATCTTTCTAAATCAGACAACTACCATTCCGTTTTACAGCAATCAATTAAAACCATTATACCAGTGACTAGACACATCCTTACCGAGGACAAAAAAAAAAAAAAAAGCAACACCCAACAAACCAAATAAAACTCCTATTAAAAACTACACCTATTCTGAAAATAGATGTCTCAAATAGAGGAGGGAAAGTACCTACACAGTTTAAAAGCAGACTTTCTGGAGCTCCTTGTGAGGCCTCACTAGCTAATCCAAAAACACCATTTCCCAGGACTTCCTTCCTACTCCCAGGTTATTCAGAAAGAATGGACACCCCAGCACAAGGCCACTCTGGTCTATACTGTCCTAAAGGCAGAGTTGATCTTCTGGTGTCAGTGAAACGCTTCAGAGTGTCTCTAAGGAGGGAGCTAGGAAGGTAATTCAGTAGGTTATGAGTGTT